GTGAACCCGCAGTGGACGCAGATTGCAATGTTACGTTAACACTGAGTTCCGTCTCCGTCTGTAATCTTCATCTTTTGCATACTGCAATTCTTTTTTGTTGATCACCTCGTAGTTTTTATACCCGAACAAACTATCTTCGGTATCATTTTTGCCAACTGGCGCGACAGTTGTCCTGCAATTTGATTGGATGGATGCTGTCGGATCAAAACAACGTGGATCTAATTTGATTGGATGCGATTGATTGTGCCGATAAAGTTTATGCACACACACAGATACACACATACACAAAGAGAGATAGAGCGATCCACCCGTCCAACATACTTTTAATTCTTTGGGTTGGGAATTAATGTAGCAAAGTCTTTTCAAGTCAAAAGGCTTCAGCCAAGTGAAAGTCACGAGTTACTGATGTTAAATGTCCAAGTCCGAGTTGCAAGTCCTCTTATATTTGTTTGTCAAGTCGAGTCTCAAGTCATCAATTTCATAGGACTCCGAGTCTGACTGGGTCCCCAAGTCATGTAACTCGAGTCCACACCTCTGCTAGTAGCTGCCTTAAACACAGTAAAAATGCTCAGCTAAATGGTCTAGTGTGCTTGTATTGTTGTATCTTTCAAATCTCCTTCAGCTGGAACACATTTCTTCTTAATTTCTTGCCCTTTTATACTTTTAATGACTTTTAATTTACTTGTTTCTCACTTTGTCTCTGCTTATCACCAGCCAAGATTACACAATTTTTGTAACAGGTGTTTACAGAATGAGGGTTTGAGCCACAGAGCTGCATAGTGATTATAGCTGTATGCACACTTAAGTTTGGTTAACAATATCTCAAATATAGGACATGACCTTTTCAAAGGACAGACTGTATATTTGGAAATCACCATTTAGCAAACGCTACTTAACCACTTTGGGAGTGCTTAAAAAGATAAGTTTACAAAACCAATGATGAGAGTGATAGCAGAAATTGCTTAACAACTGATGATAAAAGTTACTGAGCCCTCAAAAATAAATGCTAATCTTACAGGTCACAAATTGGGAAGGTTTAAAATTAAACCTTCCCAAAAGTGTCAATTTCACAAGTCTCCACAATAAAATGATATATGTATAAAATAGCCAGTGCTGTTCAGATGTACCTGGAACAGCCTGATCTGATATAGAATAGAACTGGTAGAAATTGTGCAGTTATATATCTCTTTTACTAGTGTATTTGTCTTCCCCAACTAAAGAATTGCCCAGTTATTGGATGCTCACTGCTTGACTTTCCTACTGCATGCCAGAGAAATTAAGAAAAACTTCCTTATCTATTGATCAGATTATAACTATAGTCAATCAGGTTCTTGTCAGCTTCAGTGTAACCATTACCACCATATTACGCTCACTACAGCATCCTGTTCACAGTACTTGTGTAAGAGATTGAATTTCTGAGTCTGTTCAATTTAAGGGATGTGGAAATCAGCCTGTGGACTACGGTGTTTTGAATATAATTAAAACCTGCAGGAATTCAGTAAAGAATGTGACTGTGCTCTTTGCACCAGCACTGACATTACATTATTTTCATAGCCTTTCATAAACTGTCACATCCTTAATCATCAGATGTGAATCAGAGGGAGACACAGACGGAAAGTTTTTTTTCTGTTTGTCACCGTAAATTCTGTACAACTTAGCTTGTATGGACTTAATAGTAACACTTAATAATAATGCATTCATCACTTTATTACATGTGAAACGCAGGTGTAGTTTCCTTAAGTCCACTCAAGTGAACTTTATTTCTAGATTTTCAGTATTTTACAGCAACTATCAAGAGGAAAACCTTACAAGTAAAGAAAAACAAATAAAACAATCTAATAATGGTGCCTTGTTAAATAATAATAAAGCAATACTTTTACAATGTGCCATTCATTTCTACAGTTTATAGAAAACTTTTAAAGAAAAAGTGTAAAAAAGTTTGAGTGCAGGATCTGACACTATATACATGCATACATATATACTGCACTTTTATTAGGTGGAGTTAGGGATGAGAATACTAACCTGGGAGAATAAGAAACAGAAATACTCACCACCACCATTCTTGTAACAGAGATACGGAAATCTCCACACATTTCCAAGTCCAATAATAGCACCAGCCACAGACAGTATGAACTCCTTTTTGCTACCCCACTTGCCACGCTCCTCAACTGTTTGTGAAGAAGTCTTTGGAGGGAGATGGCACAGCCTGCACAGAGAGTCTGCCATACTGCTGAGGGAGAAATGGTCTACTGGGAAGACTGACAGAGGTCCTCGAGTTTCTCGATTGTCTGGCTAGGGACTGCCTGATGCAGTTTTGTAAGAGGCTGCCTAATTGACAGACTGCAAAGTATTTTAGCCACAAGGGGGACCTCTAGATGTATGCCAAAAAGTAGTTTACCAGCATATAAATGACAAACAGGAGAATGATGGATTTTGTGTGACTAATTTCTTTTTGGGCATGGTATTTAAGGCTTTGAAAGCAGGGGCTCTTCCCCTTACACAAGGTATTTTTGACTGACAACTAGTAGACGTGTTGCTTAAGGCAAAAACTCCTTTTAACACAGTCACGAATACAGATTAGCCTGTCAGCCTAAATGTATATACGGTATATGGTTATGTATGTGTGAGAACTTATCAGGGAGCCAAGAATTAATAAATGGTAATTATATGCTATTTTTCTATGTGCTTTGCCTCTATATAATAGTTTCCATGTGCTTCTCCCCTCAAAGCTTGACCTTAAAAGTCCAAGTACCAAATTGCCTTTACAGTACTTTTTACACTGAAGACATGTTTATATGGTGTTTATTTCCAGTGGGAAAGGTCTACGTATTATCATCTGATTTTAAACTTTTGACCAGATAGTGTACATCAAGATTGCTTTTGTATGTTAATCGTACGTGATAGAAACCTTTTCAACAATGCAAGATAATCCATTTCTGATCCTAACTGACAGATACAAAAATCTTTATTTATTATGGAAGTGTTTCCCAGAATGTAATGTAACCAAAGTAACAGTTCTCGGAGTGACAGCAGGGGTACTTTAGGGTGAATGGCGGGTTGCCAGTAGGCGATATTGCTGTACTCAAGGCAAAACTCATTTAACACAGTCAAAAATGTAAGCCTTTAGTCAGTTATTCGTGTGATCTACAGTAATTACACTATGACATTTGTGGTAGATTGACAGCTGTTATATATGCTGTTTACAGCAAATCTATGGTGAGTAGCTTGAATTTAAATGTTTTCTGTGTGAACTGCTCTTTACATTTATGTTTTCATGTACTTGTCCTCTCTGAACTTGTCCAAGTATAAAGTTGCCCATAAGTATACACGCTTATGGTATATTAGCTCTTTATCTAATGCAGTTACCCTAATGCAAAAGCACTGTTCCGCCTGTCCACCTTTTCTGCTCGTGGAGGATTATTTCTGTGCAGCTCAGTATTTTAAGGTCACAGCAGGGGGCTCTTCAGGACCTTTGGAGAGCAGAGTGCTTGTTGGTTGCTCACGTCTTTTCAGCTATTGTAGGATAATGTTTGCTCTTTCCAGCCAGATCTCTTAGATATCAATCACCGGTGGTAGAAATAAAAGTAGCAATGTCACAGTATAAGTAATGTCGAGTCTGGGACAAAACACAATACAAACAATGTGAATTTAATATTGTGTGTATAAATACAATGTGAAATGAATTCAAAATCTGCACAATATAAAACAAAATTTATTGATTTGTCATAGCATGGTTATAATTTTGCAAAAGAAGTTTGACATTCCCTATACCAAGTCCACACTGAGCAACCTGAAAAAGTGCACTTTTGTGGTTTACTTGCGGTGGGAACAGCATTCAATGTTATATGATAAAAGTAACTGAGTAAATACGACTGTCAAAGATAGACAGTAAGACTAGAAGGACTATTAAAAAAAGCTCTAATATTAACTCAGTGACATAATGTGAACTTGAATTTACTTGAGTAGCTGGATATGGCCAGGAGACATGCCAAACTCTCCAGCAGT